TGGGTAGGCATCTTGAATGAAAATAATCCATTGGAAATTTTTCATGATAGACTGTACCATGTGTTTGACAAATCATTTCCAATTAAGCGTTTGAAAAACAAAAAATCCAAAAAACCATGGATGACAAGGGGTATTCGAATTTCGTCCCGAAATATGCGATCGTTGCATTACATAAGAAAGTTTAGCCTTGATAACTTATCGTTTATGACATATTTTAGAGAATATAGAAAAATTTACAAAAGGGTTTTAACTTTGGCCAAACAGTTGTACTACAAAGGCAGATGAGATGAAGGGAAAGTCGCGCAAGAATAAGGTCGATTCTATTCTCACGCCTGATGATTTGAACTCTTTTTATTGCTCTGTTGCGGACATTCTCTCTAGTCAACTGCCGAAAACGAATAACTTCCAGACTCTGTTTAAGGATGATCGCGTTTTTCCAACATTTTTTATTGCGCCCACCGACATTTTAGAACTCAAAGCGACATTTAAGGATGTAAGGAATTCCAGATCATCAGGTTGGGATCATATGTCTGTGAGAGTTTTTTCCTGTCTTCCAGACACAGTGCTCAGTGTGTTGGAGGAAGCCATACATATTTCTTTTGTCTCCGGTTCATTTCCGGCTTGCCTGAAGTTGGCTAACATTCTTCCTCTCCTTAAGGGTGGAGATCAGAACTGCCCTTCAAATTACCGACCCATAGCTCTGTTACCTACACTCTCCAAAGTAGTAGAAAAGTTAATCAAAAAAAGAATGACTTACTTTCTAGCATGCAATAAAATTCTTGCGCCACAGCAATTTGGTTTTCAAGCATCCAAAGGGACGATGGATGCAGTGTTTGCTTTTCTTGAGGGGCTCTACTTGGGGCTTAATAACAGGGAGATTGCTGCAGCAGTGTTTTGTGACCTGTCTAAAGCATTTGACTGTGTCAGTCACGGAACGCTGCTGTGGAAACTGGAGGCCTATGGGTTCAGGGGAGTCGCTCTAAGGTGGTTTGAGAGCTACTTAAGTAACAGGCATCAGAGTGTCAGCTTTAATGGTATTTCGTCCGCGCAGAGAGAATTGCATTATGGAGTTCCTCAGGGTTCAGTTCTGGGGCCTCTCCTTTTTCTGATTTATGTTAACGATTTTGCTTACCTTGACATCTCTGGCCGCTTAACAATGTTCGCGGATGATACTACCATTCTCTGGCACGGTAACAGTGGTCCAGAATTGACAGAAGTGATTAATAGTGATGTTTTAAAGATACGGGAATGGTGTGATGCGAATAATTTAACACTGAATTTATCAAAAACTAACATCATGAGTTTCAGATGTGAGATAGGGAATGTAGGTTTAGGCAATAATATGTTAGCTAACTTGAATGAAAATAGATTTTTGGGAATATATATAGACGGTAAATTGAATTTTGATGCACATATTAGGAATCTGAACTCCGTATTGTCAAGAAATTCTTATGCTATCAGGATGCTTTCGAATGAGCTAGATTTACACATTGTGAGGAATGTTTACTTTGCACTGATAGAATCTCACTTGCGATACGGAATTTGTTTTTGGGGTTCATGTACGAGGGGTTTATTCAATAGTGTCTTTCTACTGCAGAAAAGGGCAGTCAGATTTATGTGCAAGGTATCGCGCTGTAGTTCTTGTAGGGAACTGTTTGTGAGGCACAGATTGTTAACGCTATCAGCGTTATTTGTGCTGGAGTCTGTGTGCCTCATACATAGGAAGTATAGGGACAATATTTTGACAAGTCAACACACCTACAACACACGGAGAACGTTCAGTGTAGAGCTGCCGATACCTGTCTTTTCACAAATAAAAAATTCTTTAATATTTGCTTCTAGACAATTGTTTAATAAACTGCCTCTCGAGATCAGTCATATTCAATTTGAAAGGAAGTTCAGATCTGCAGTGAAGGCATTACTATTGGAGCGGCCCTATTATAGTGTATCAGAGTATCTGGATGACCAGTTTTAACGTTCATTTCAGCAGAGCTTTTCATCAAAAAGTCTACCTAGGTTTTAGTCTTAATCTTAAGTTTAATTTGTGTATGTGCTTGACTTGTGTATGTGCTACTAATTCAAATTTTGTTTTTATATTTGTTTTTTTTTTTTTTTTTTTTTGCTATTTTTAACTTGTCGATTCGTTTGACGGCATTGTAACGTTATTCACTTATTGGTAATAACAAATATTATGTAATACTTCATGGTTCATATTAATTGTCATCTGGTTCACAGAAACTTAACCGATGTGCCTGGGCGGTTTAACATCCAAAGTTATCCTTTCCGACCCTTATTTTATTATCCTCAATTTATCTATTATTGTTACGTTGTAGAATGTTTGACATACTTGCCCAACCAAATAGATTTCACTTTTAAGTTTATGAATGGGTGCACTTTCAAAAGTAACAAAGTTATAAATAAATGTGCAATATTGGGTCCTTTTGAGAATAATATGAAAACCCCCTTTTTATTGAGATAGGATTTTGGCTGCCTTCTTGCTGTGCAGGAAGGTTGGATAAAGACATTCAGATTCCGAACTTGAGGCTGTAAACATTATATTTTAAAGTTCTAAAAGTATTCCTCTCTTAAATAACATAAACTCTCTTGAATAAATATAAACCATTTTGAATAAAATCGAGTTAACGTGTTTTACTTAATTGGTGCGAGTTTGACGGATTGAGTTCACAATCCCTCGTGATTTACTGGTGAACATTAGGTGATTATAACATTGGTGTGATTGGAGGTATCGTTACAGCATGTTAGGCATTATGTTAGTTTAAGTTTATGTTCAATACTGCATGTGTAATTCCAATGACCATATTGTTTTATATTTTATTTATTTTATTGGCTTTGTCAACAAGAATTTAAATTTTTTTATGACAATAATAGCATATTTTGATTTGATTTGATTTGAAGGTAAATATGACAAAACTTTCCAAAACGTCATATGTCAGCGAGCAACAGAAAAAAACAACATTACCCTTTGTGGCATCAATCTGTCTTTCATGGCTACATTTTTTTGGCAGATATGGCAATGTATGCGCATTCCAGTTTTTGACTATAGTTCATTGGTCTGGTAAAATAGATAGGTCTATTATCTTTAAAAAAACAACAGACTTTATTGAAAAGTTGAATCGTTTAGCAGAACCAAGAATTTATCCAACGTAAAGTCTGTTTTTTTTTTTTAAATAAAAGTAGAAATGACATTATGTTGGCAATACAATGTAAAATAGTCAATGCTTTCAAATTTTTTATGTAGGAAAGGCTTTGTGTTACCAACATAAACTGTGTTTTTTTTTCAAAGATAAAAATCAAAATGACATTATGTTGGCAATACAATGTAAAATTGTCAATGCCTCAAATTTTTTATGTAGAAAAGGCTTGTGTTGCCAACATAGTTACTAAATTTTTGACTTGGGGAATTATTTTTAAAAAAAAACAAACTTTTTTCTGTTGGTATTTTGTAAACTGTTTACGACTCGTTTTGGTTCTGGCGAATGAAGCCACTACCATTCAATTTCGCTAGATGGCGCCAGATCCAGATGTCATATTTCAAAACCGACCAAGTACAAGATATCTATACAGTAATGCATTTTAAGGTGCTCCACACCCGTAGCTTCACACTCTGGTGCTCCAAACAACTGTTGTTTGTGCGTCGTGTTAAGGCCCATCCTCAATCAATCTGGTAGCGAAGTGGCACTTCGGCACGCATGCTAGGATAATGTGGTTTAACGTTGGCATCCTCAATTCAATTCCGTGCAAGCATGCACGCTGACTTCGAAGTGCAAGCTGCAAGCTTTTTCGATGCGTGCCGACATGTGTCATGCGCAGTATGGTAAAAAATAATTCAGGTTATCCTTGCGTTCGATATTTTGCTCGAAGAGCAGAGCGTGCAGAGCGGAGCTGTAATCACGTTACCAGCGAACGCATAGAGCAGTTAAACGTGTATCAGAGGGCTCGAAATTTCAATAAACGAACGTGAATGAGACTGCACCTAGTACACTTTTTAAATAAACGAACGGTAAATTTATGCTCGGAGAACTCAGATCAAAATACCGAACGCACAGTTCGTGACCGTACTACACGCATGGCCGAGTTCGTTTTTGTCATCTTTTTCATCGATTTCCTCCGAAAATTTGACAGACACGTGATCTGTAACTTGAAACTGTTTTATCCAGACACGTGCCTGTCAAAATTTCGGAGCAAATCGACGAAAAAGATGACAAAAACGAACTCGGCCATGCGTGTAGTACGGTCACGAACTGTGCGTTCGGTATTTTGATCTGAGTAGACAGAAAATTGACAGCATTGAGGAAGGGTATGAATTTCCCAGCACACGTGCCGAAGTGCCACTTCGCTACCAGATTGATTGAGGATGTAGCTTTACTCGTGTTTTAAATGCACCCGTGAAATTGCTGTTGCTTGAGAGGGCAGGGGAGAGGAAAAACAAACCGTTCAGTTGCGCGAATCTCTAATGCACTGGAACGCATAGAAACAGCCCGGAGCGTTCTAGAGCAGCTCAGAAGTGCGTCACTGAAAAGTGGAAAACGACTCGGATCATCAGCTGATGTACTTTGTCCTTCTTCAATCGTGTTCATTGAAGAAAGATATATGATTGGTGCAAATCGCCAACGACCAAGTTTTTTAATCAATGAAATCCGCTGTAAGCTGTAAAATAGCTGACTGGATTTTGGAACCGGAACCAACTCAAGATTGTCGTAGAGAACTTGCCGATAATAGCCTTTAAAAATTGTACACGCTTCAAACTTATGGTTTTTACTCGAGAACACCTAGAACTAGTTCACAGTTCAATCTGGAACCGATTTGAAAACGTATAGTAGTTCTTAGTTCGTACTCTGGAACACACAGAACTGGTCTAAAATTTAAAATCAATTTTGAAACAGTTTTCAAAAAAAAAACATTTGGAATTTGCTTTAAAAAATAGAATTGAGCTGGCGAAAAAGTACTCAAAAAAGCTCTAAAGCTTAAATTAATAATAATAGAATATAAAATAAAGAAAAACTTTCGAGTTAAGTTACCTAACCTCAAAAAAAAATCCCTTTACGAATATCCTTGAAAAAAAAAACTCAAAAATAACATTTTTTCGGACTGCCCCAAACGAAACGTCACATGTTATTACGTATTCATTACTGATTAAAATTTGAATAGTGCTGAAATTGTTTCGTCCGATAAGCACATCTTCAAGTCGTCAGACGACCTCAATCACCTTGAAAAAACTCAAAGAAGTCACTATTTTAGATTCAGTTTTTATTAATCGAAAGAAAATTCATCTCGATGGCTTCGAAGGGAACACTTACAGTACTAAACCTGGCCGGTGCAGGCAAACTTCTAAGTAGGAGAGCTTTTTCGACCACAAGACTAGTTGGAGCTAAACAAATGACCGTCCGGTAATAATTACATTATATAGTTGAAAAGTATTCAAGAATTATTTTGTAGTGATGCTCTCAATTCAGCCCTAGATGAAGAAATGAGCAGAGACGAAAAAGTATTCATCCTAGGGGAAGAAGTAGCTCAATACGATGGCGCTTACAAAGTAACCAGAGGCTTGTGGAAAAAGTACGGAGATAAACGAGTCATTGACACACCAATAACTGAAATGGGTTTTGCAGGTAAATAATTATTTGGCAAAGTAGTACGCCAAAGCAGTTGAATAATATCGTCTTTATTTTTTTTTTAGGTATTGCAACTGGTGCAGCCATGTCAGGATTGAGACCAGTATGCGAATTTATGACTTTCAATTTTGCTATGCAAGCCATCGATCAAATTATAAACTCTGCAGCTAAAACATTTTACATGTCTGCCGGACGTGTGAATGTACCCATTGTATTTAGGTAACTTACATCTTTATTGTTCCAACATTTATTTATTCAAATTACACAGCAGAGCCACCTATTACAGATACATCAGATTGGTATAAAACTATTTCTAATTGAGATTCTCAAAACATCTACAAATTAGGATTGTAGATAAGACCTGGCACATCACATGTGTGGTAAAAAAATAATAAAATAAATATGTGTAAATTGTGTAATACACAAAATAATATCTACAGGTATTTCAGAGCTTGATAGGAGCTACAATTCTTAAAAAAAATTGTATATCTTTCATGAATTTGGAGATATTGAAGCTTGAAGGTTTTGAAATAAGATCAACCTAATTCACTTAAATGACCTATTTTTTCTCTTTATCTGCAAAATTTCAAAATTATTCATAGAATTATTCAATAGAATTTTTTGTGTTGATGTTTTCCACTGAATCAACTTGAAGTTTATTTCACTTAAATAGGCTTCCATTCTTCCTATTTTAATCCAGGAAATTTCAAAATTATTCCTGCAACATTTTTCCACAAAAATAATGGAATATGCAATATGCAAGAGGGTTTTTTTGTAAAATCTAGTTTCTGGAAGATGATTTTCAAGAATTTTTCCTGTTGATGTTTTTCACTGAATCAATTTGAAGTTTCACTTAAATGAACTCCCATTCTTCCTCTTTTTATCTAGAAAATTTCAAAATTATTCCTTCCACAATTTTCCAGGAATGTGGGAGTTTTTTTTGTAAAATCTGATTTCTGGAAGTTGATTTTCTAGAATTTTTAGTGTTGATGTTTCTCTCTAGATCAATTTAAAATTTCACTTAAATGAACTCCCATTCTTCCTGTTTTCATCCAAAAAATTTCAAAATTATTTCTGCAATAGTTTTCTAAAAAAATAATGAAATACGCCAGGTCAGAGTGTTTAAGTATGGTAAAATCTAGTGTCTGAAAGTTGATTTTCAAAAATGTTTCATGATTTTTTACATGATACAGAAATACAAGTAACATAACATTAAAACCTAACAAAGTAAAATCATTGAAATCAATTACAAATTATGGTTGTAGATAAAATCTGACACATAATATGTGATTAAAAAACTGATAATTATAGATCTGTTCCCTCAAAAATCACAAACCAGTCAGAGTGAATTTCATTGGTTGAAACTAGTTTTCTGACTGTTTTCAACCAATGAAATTCACTCTGACTGGTTTGTGATTTCTGCAGAAACAGATCTTATACCAACTTCATATATAAAGTACAATATAATATCTACAACATTTTGAATATAATAATATGTAATTGAATAATAGATAGTAACTTGTTCTTAGGTTATTAACTTAGTTTTTATAGTGAATCGGTTATAAATATAAATTTGTACCTTACAGAAGTTATAAGGTGTAAACTAAGGAGTAAACTACCATCCCATAATTGGTGCAAACAATTTCTCAAAGGGGAATTTTTTACGCAAAATTCCTCAAAAAAATTCCTGCAAATTTCTCCAAATTCCTCCAGATACTTCATCACAAATTCCTCCAAATACCCTACCACGAACTTACCCAAATACCCCACAAATTCCTCTAAAAAAAAAGGAAAATTTTGAAACTTTTTGCATGTAAAAAAGAAGGTGAGAAGATCATTTTCCCAAAATTTCAAATTTTTCCAGTGGAAAATAGCAACATGAAAAATCTTGGAAATCAACCTACACAAACTGAATTAGTTGGAAATACAGTCTCCCACATTTCAAAGTTTTCCTGGAAAATTAGTGAAGGGAAAATTTTGAATCTTTTTGCATGTAGAAAGGAAGGTGAGAAGCTCATTTTCCCAAAATTTCAAATTTCTCGAGTGAAAATTTACAACATGAGGAATCTTGGAAATCAACCTACAAAAACTGAATTAGTTGAAAATACAGTCTCACATATTTGAAAGTTTTCTTGGAAAACTAATGAAGGGAGAAACTTGAAACTTTTTGCATGTAAAGAGAATGGTGAGAAGCTCATTTTCCTAGAATTTCAAATTTCTCCAGTCAAAAATTACATCATGAGGAATCTTGGAAATTAACCTAGAATAACTGAATTAGTTAAAAATACAGTCTCACATATTTCAAAGTTTTTCTGGAAAACTAGAAAACGGAAAATTTCGAAACTTTATGCATGTAAAGAAGAAGGTGAGAACATCATTTTCCTGAAATTTCAAATTTTTCCAATAGAAAACAGCAAAATGAAAAATCTTGGAAATCAACCTACAAAAACTGAATTAGTTGAAGATACAGTCTTACGCATTTCAAAGTTTTCCTGGAAAATTACTGAAGGGAAAATTTTGAAACTTTTTGCATGTAAAGAAGAAGATGAGAAGCTCATTTTCCCAAAATTTCAAATTTTTCCAGGGGAAAACAGCAACATGAGGAATATTGAAAATCAACTTACAATAACTAAATTAATTGAAAATACAATCTCACATATTTCAAAGTTTTCCTGGAAAACTAGTGAAGGAAGAAATTTGAAACTTTTTGCATGTAAAGAGAAAGGTTAGAAGCTCATTTTCCCAGAATTTCAAATTTCTCTATTGAAAAATTACAACATAAGGAATCTTGGAAATCAACCTACAAAAACTGAATTAGTTGAAAATATAGTCTCACACATTTCAAAGGGTTTCCTGGAAAACTAATGAAGGGAGAAAGTTGAAACTTTTTGCATATAAAGAGAATGGTTAGAAGCTCATTTTCCTAGAATTTCAAATTTCTCCAGTAAAAAATTACAACATGAGGAATCTTAAAAATTAACCTACAAAAACTGAATTAGTTGAAAATACAGTCTCACATATTTCAAAGTTTTCTTGGAAAACTAATGAAGGGAGAAAAAAGAAATTATTCTAAAATGTTACAGAACACTTTAGAACTAATCTGAAATTTGAAAGCTTATTGGAACACTCTAGAAAACTTTACAAATCATAGGAAACTTTTGGAAACTTTCAAAACACCTTAAAAATCGTCACATGACATTTTAGAACTAATTTAAAAACTCCCATGAATATATTACTCTATATATTATAACCAAGGGGTAAACCACCATCCCAGAATTTGTGCAAACAATTCCTCAAAGGGGAATTTTTCACGCATAATTCCTCAAAATTCCTGCAAATTCCTCCAAATTCTCCACAAATTCCTCCAGATACCCGCAATTTCCTCCAAATTCTCGCAAATTCAGCCATCCTCTCAAATTTCCCACAAATGTCTCTTACAAATTCCCTGAAAATTCCCACAATTGCTGTGATGGGAAATTTATTTTTTCTATTTTTATTTTGCTTAGTTAAAATACAAGAGCAGTTTATCAAGTAGGATCAAATCGAGGATCAAATGCAAGGTTACATTAGTTGACATTACAGCTAGAACTAATTATTGGTTTTCGGCTCGGTTTCCGGTAATCCAGAATGCAGGGGTTTGAACTAACCTAAACCCGCTAATTGATAAAAAAAAAACCTTTCTAGGAAATTAAAACAAATATGATACTGTATAATACCAAGAATAGAATAATACACATCATGTAGCTACTTTTTAAACAACTTAGGTAGGTATGTATATTGTTTCACAATATTGAGAATAAGTATATTCGTATATTGTTCCTTTTTATTTTCAATGGACATTTTCGAGGACCTTTTCCTAAAAATTGAACAGGTTTACAAGACCATAAATAAATTTAATCTGAATCTCAGCATAGTCAGGCTGAGTAGGCCAAATGAATGTGTCTAAATCCTTTTTCAATAGTTTGGAAATAAGTAAACCCTTTTTCCAACATTCAGCTTTTTTTCCATAATATGATGCTAGAACACATACTCAGATTTGGATACAGACAAAAACTTGTATCAACTTCAAGTAGCTTGAAGTTCCTTTGCACTCAGGTTCATTTTTAAGGGGATTTTGTACCTTCTCTGAAATTATAATCGATGCGCTTTTACAGTATATCCGATCTTCTGAAAAAATGTCAGAACTAACTACTAAATGTTAACTTTTATTATGTTTCTCAATTATTCAATTCAATTCAAATTTTCCCAGTAAAAAATAGCAACATGAAGAATCTTGGAAATCAACCACCACAATAACTGAATTAATTGAAAATACAGTCTCACACATTTCAAAGTTTTCCTGGAAAACTAGGGAAGGGAAAATTTTGAAACTTTTTGCCTGTAAAGAGGAAGCTCATTTTCCCAAAATTTCAAATTTTGCCAGTAGAAAATAACAACATGAAAAATCTTGGAAATCAACTTTTAAAAACTGAATTAATTGAAAATACAATCTCACACATTTCAAAGTTCTCCTGGAAAACTAGTGAAGGAAGAAATTTGAACCTTTTTGCATGTAAAGAGAAAGGTTAGAAGCTCATTTTCCCAGAATTTCAAATTTCTCCAGTAAAAAATTACAACATAAGGAATCTTGGAAATCAACCTACAATAACTGAATTAGGGAAAATTTTGAAACTTTTTGCATGTAAAAAGGAAGGTGAGAAGCTCATTTTCCCAAAATTTCAAAATTCTGACAAGGTTAAAAATACTTGTATATGTCTTGATTGAACTTGGAGCAAATGAAAATAAATTATACAGCATTGAATAATTCTCTATAAATCTGTCTTTACTTGAGTTTGATAGTTCATATACTTTTCAAGCAATTGAGCCTCAAAGTTGAAATTTACTCAAAAACTTGAAACGAAACTCAATTTTCTCAAAGACTATAAACCTGAAAATATTTTTCAATACACGATTGTCAGAGCTAAATAGGAGCTACAATTCCTGAAAATCTTAATTCAATATGTAAAATTCCTGTATTGGAATTTAGGAAGATGCTCAGAACACTTGGTAGTTTGTTGTTTGTAAATTGGGTTAGTACACCCAGGAAATTTGGTAACCACTGTTGGATTAATACTGATTTTCATTAAACAATTAACAACTATTTATATACAAAAAATGCAACTTCAATAAACGTCATGAACAATAGTGATTATTTAAAAAAAATATATCGCTAACAAAAATTTGTTGGTCGAAAGATTGGGTAATTAAACTTTTGATGATGCTGCGTCTAATATAGATCGTATTGCCTATGTTTCCTGATGACTTACTGGCGGTGCGTTAGTGTCGATGACCTAGGAGTACCTGCACGCAAATAGTTAATTAATTTTTGTAATGATATTTGATATACAAAACAATTTAACATAATCTTTAAATGACCATTTCGAACAGAAAGAAAATCTCAATTTTTCAAATTAAGACAAATTGCCAATATTTTCATTAAAATTCGAGCAAATCAAAATAAATTATACACCACTAGAAAGAGCATTACATTTTCTATAAATCCTTGCTAAATTGAGTTTGATAGCTCGAATACTCTTTGAGCAATTGGGCCTCAAAGTTAAACATTTTCAATTACCCAATTAGCTTTAGATTTTCTTTAAAAATCTTAAAACGCTCAAGAATAATTGCCCATATCTCCATTAAAATTTGAACAAATCAAAATAAATTATTCACCATTAAAAAGAGCATAAAATTATCTATAATTCTGTACTTAATTGATACCATTTCCTAAACAATTATCAATTATATCCTTTTTTTGTAGAGGTCCAAATGGTGCAGCTTCAGGTGTGGCGGCGCAGCACTCACAATGCTACGGCTCCTGGTACGCTCACTGTCCGGGCTTAAAAGTCGTCTCTCCGTACAATTCCGAGGACGCCAAAGGGCTTTTGAAGGCCGCCATCAGAGATCCCGATCCAGTCGTTTGTCTGGAAAACGAACTTATGTACGGCGTCCAGTATCCAATGTCCGACGAGGCGCTTTCTAGCGATTTTGTTTTGCCTATTGGAAAAGCTAAAATCGAAAGACCTGGTAAACATGTTACTCTTGTAGCACATTCGAAAGCGGTGGAAACTTGCCTGGAAGCGGCTAAGGAATTAGCTGGAAAAGGAATTGAAGCTGAAGTTATTAATTTGAGGTAAATTGTTTTAATTAGTTTGTTTGTAATTAATGATTGAATTTTTTAGATCATTGAGGCCTATAGATACTGATACCATAAACAAATCAGTAGTCAAAACCAATCATTTAATATCAGTTGAACAAGGATGGCCTTCTTGCGGTATCGGTTCGGAAATTTTAGCCCGATTGATGGAAAGCGAAGCTTTCTATCATTTAGATCAGCCAGCTCTTAGACTTACTGGTAAAAATTATTTCGAGATGTAAAATCTCAAAATTGAATTGTTTGTTTTTTTCAGGCTGTGACGTTCCGATGCCCTACACTCAAAGTTTAGAAACAGCAGCCCTACCTCGTCCTGTTGATGTTGTAGATGCCGTCAAAAGATTACTGAAAGTTAAATGAATTCCAACAACCACTGAATTGAGTCAATTAAGAGGCTGACATTGCAGGAACAAATAAATAACTAAATAATTGAATAGTCCTGTAAGGTTTTAGTTTTTTTTTTTTTATAGATGTCATTAATTTATTTTGTATACATATATTATATTTCTTCTTCTTTTTTTTTTGTAATAAATCTTAGATACCTCGCTTTATAAAATACATAATTAGGTTTCAATATTGTATTTGTTTCCTGTAAATTTTATTGTTTGTTTATTAAAACTTTGTTTTGGAAATTTATCTGTTTTTGTGTTTATTATTTTATTTAATTCTAACTTGTTTACAACCAATTAACAAGTTGCTACACAATTTGCCTGTAATAAAAATTAAGGTATCGTCAGCCAGCAAAATTAGCATGAAATGAATAATTTATAAGGCGTTGAAAATTCACTTTCCATTAAACGCATGTGATTCTTTTGCTTAGGAGAAATTATTTGTATTTATTGACCTAGAAAAATGTGTTAAATTCTGTGAAAAATCAAAGATAAAGATTTTGGACTATAACTTAAATCATCTTCGAAAAATTCAGAAAAATACTTTAGAGAATCAGATCGATTTTATATCGATTAAATATACCTATTAAATGTTGTGTTAACGTATCTATTAGCTGAATTAAATTAAGTTTTTTTTGATGATGAATTTGGCTTTGGTTGAAGAAAATTAATGTTTACTCTCTGGATCAGAAGTCACCTAAAATTAAAATTTTACATCATCCTTTTTTAGGCAGCTTGTGGGCATTATTCTTGTAAAGTGTACCACCAAATAAATAAACTCAGGCACAGGAATGTTCAAAGAATGTAAAGAAAACAAAAAAAATCTCAAGCGCAGCCCTATTTCACTCTATCTGCACTGCATGCACTGCACTACTCCATCTGTTCTTCTCTATCTGCACTACTCTATCTGATCTACTCTTTCTGCACCACTCTATCTGATCGGAATAGTGGAATAGTTCTGTTCGAAATAGCTCCAGTTCCTGAGCAGCATTGTTCTACTGTATCTGCAATGCCGAGCTTCGTTCCAGGTATCAGAGATGGCGCGGATACAAAATACAAAATAAACTTGGTATCGGTTATAAGAGATGGTGCAGTATGCGGGCTTAGTAAATTTTTTTCCTAAATAAATAAAATAAGTAATGAAATGACCACATTAATGACATAACAACATGCTGGTACTGTCAACGCTGAAAAAAGTTTCAATTTGACAGCAAAATCCCCATTAACAAAATGATGCTCCATTTATTGAATAATTCATTTATTACATAAAATGTGATAAGTGAAGAACCGCTCGACCGATTTTGTGCAAACTTCACATAAACCATCTAATAAATAGTCCGAACAAAGCCTAAACATTTGGTTTGGCTAGGTGAGCCCGTTCTTGAGTTATAATATTACAACGAAAAATGGCATTAATTTTTATATACCGGGTGACAATGAAACTACTACACACGGCGGCATTTCTTAACGGCTCGAGATAGAAATACCTATGCAATTCTGTATGTCGATAGGGTTGAAAATTTAGAACAATTTTAATATAAAAACAACTGAATGGCTTTTCCGGTTTCACCGGAAATGGCATTGACTTTGTTATTTTAAATGAAACACCCTGTATGGTATCTTTTTTTTGGACTCTCTGAATAATTCTAAATAACTTTTGTCTAACATACCCTATGTCAAAAATTGATTGTTTTTGAAATAGAGTGGCTCAAAAATCTGTCGCCTTTATAGATGATCACCCACAACGTGAAAATGGGTTATCAAATTTTCAATTTTGCAAGTGTCTATGAAGGTTGAATTTGTCATATTTGGATAAAGGATAAAAAAGTAGGATTGGCTAGTGGAAGTTTCATTTCCATGTTGAACCATTTTCGTACAGGGTCCGATCAAAAACTGAAACATATTCATTTTCGAAAAACGCGTTTTTCTTAACTTGCATTAATTCTTCTCTCAATTATTTATCGGATACCTCTTTGAATAAGAAGCAAATAACCATGATTGTTTTTGTTCTGGCCTACTTAATTTTTACGTAAGATACAAATAAATAGCAATTACGACATATCTTTGAGCGGCTCTATTTCAAAAACTATCAATTTTTGACATGGGGTATGTTAGACAAAAGTTATTTAGAATTGTTCAAAGAGTCCGAAAAAAAGATAATATACAGGGTGTCCCATTTGAAATAACAAAGCCTAGGCCATTTCTGGTAAAACCGGAAAAGACATTCAATTGTTTTTATATTAAAATTGTTCACAATTTTCAACCCTATCAACAAACCGAGTTGCATATTTCTATCTCGAGCCGTAAAGAAAAGCCGCCGTGGGTAGTAGTTTCATTGTCACCCGGTATATAGATTATTGAGTAGCTGGTATAATTATTGTTAGATGGCGCACTATCCGCATAAAAGCTACAGTGACTTTAAACAAGACAGTGGCGACATAGGAACCTTGATAGAGCCCACCCGCCATGTTTTGTCAAAACAAAATTGCATAAAACTCCATAGGATTAAATGATAAAAACAAATTCCTTTTGTCAAAACATGGCGGATGAACTACGTAATTCTGAGAACCAATCAAAAATGAGACAACCCACTGTCGCCACTGTCTTGTATAAAGTCACTGTAATAAATGCACCTGCAAGGTAAAGTTTTGTTTGAGTGACTTTTGAATTTATTTCACGACCATTTGCACCGCTATAACTTAAGGGGTATTTATTCCAAGTAGAGCTTTGAATGTGACTCTTGTATAAACAAAAGTCACATCCAAAGCTCCACTTGGGTTAAATATTCCTTAAGTGATAGCCATGCAAATTGCCATCAGGGGCCTAGGGGCCCCTTTTGTGAAAATAGCCCCGGGCCCCAAAAGACCTTAATCCGACCCTGTTTGGGGGGCGGCAGACAGTTTATTTGGGGGGCGGCAGACATTTAATTTGCCTAGGGCGCCAAAGTCGCTTGCGCCGACCCTGGGTTTAAGACAGGTCCAGAAGGGCGTTTCCCATTAAAGGTAGTTTACACTGGACCTAGTCTGCTGCGTTCAATACTCCCAGAGGGGCGTTTCCCATTAAAGGTAGTTTGCACTGAGAGGAGACTTAGCTAGAAGGGCTTTTCCCATTAGAGGTAGTTCGCATTAGCCTTAGTTTGCCGGTAATGGATTTCGGCGCTGCATTTATACCAAATAAATGCTGACTCGTCGACACACTTTAGTAAATTTGATGTACAGAGTGGTATTTACTTAAGTAGTTGACAATATTTTATATTGATTATCTAAATATTATAATAGTATTAATATCATAATACATAATACAGTAGAACCCCGATTATCCGAGTCGCAATTATCCGGGTTCTGGATTAACCGAGCCAGTCTAAAGACCCAAAAATCCTGATTATCCGAGGTACGTACGTCCATACTTCATATTAACCGAGTTTCTAAAATATACAAGGTGTTTTTTTATATATTGACACCCCACCTACAGTCTTTACCTTTACAAGTAGAAGAAAGGTGCAAATACAAAAGTTGTACTGTTTTGGCTGAATTTTTAGAAATCACGATCAGAAACAAAATTTGAATGTCAGAAATGTGAAATTTTGCATTCTTCCAGCTTTTTTCAAATGGGATGCCCTAAGTATATTTCATTTTATATTCTTGAAGAGCACAATGCCCCAATTCCAAAAATATATAGTTTGTCTATGTTTGATTGAACAGTCTTTCATATATTCAGCTTCAAAAATTGTAGAAATACTATCCTACTATGTACTGATTTTGTGAAACATTCTACCTGTACAGGTGAAAACTATAGGTAAAATTTGAGGTATAGTATTCGTAATACCAATTTAGAATAACCTCATCCTTATTTATCACTCACGAATCAGATGAAACAAAAAATTACCAACAAAAACGAAAGTCGATTGCTATAATACGTCAATTTCATGTACAAATAGGAAATTTCTAACCTAATTTTATTTGCGTGTGTCAAGAAGCGACATACGTTTTGTCACTAGAACGACTGGTACTTCTAAATAGGTATTAAAAATACTATACTGATAGTATTTTTAAAATTTTTAGAACCAAATATGATGTAGACAGCTCAACCAAATACAGACAAACTATATATAGGTAGTTTTGGAATCGGGAAATTGTGCTCTTCAAGAATATAAAACCAAATATAGGGCATCCCATTTGAAAAAAGCTGAAAGCATCAACTATTTCACATTTCCGACATTCAATTTTTGTTTCTGACCATAGATTCTAAAAATTTAGCCAATAGGTACTGTACAACTTTTGTATTTACACCTACTTGTAAAAGTGAAGGCTGTAGGTGGGGCGTCACTATATAAAAAAACAGGCTCTGCGTCATTTGCGCGACAACCGTTTGCGCGAGGGAGAAAAGCGCGATAAAAAAAGTGCGACGGACAAAAGCGCGACGGAACAAAAACGCGACAGGACAAAAGCGCGATGGACACAAACGCGACTGGATAAAAAACCGAGGAACAAAAGCGCGAGGGACAAAAGCGCGACGGAACAAAAACGTGAGGGACAGAACCGCGACGGAACAAAAACGCGACTGGAATAAAGCGCGATGGACAAAAACGCGATTGGATAAAAACGCGAGGAACAAAAGCGCGAGGGACAGAAGCGCGACGGAACAAAAACGCGAAGAGCAAAAGCGCGACGGAACAAAAACGCGAGGGACAAAAACGTTGTTGAAATGGCTGTCAACAAATAAAGGACCCCAGCGAGGAGTTCAAAATACAAGCAAGTTAATTCTCGATTGTTAAACTTAGTCCAAGAATACCCTTTCTCCAACGTCCAAAATCACCTTAAAGCAGTAGCTTTAAACTTAACCATTTAAACTTAGCATTGCATAATTTGTATTTTTAACTAATTTATTTTGTTTCTTTTTTTAATAAAGTTTATCATGCTGTCCTACTTAGAACTATAGAATAAGTGATGAACAAATTGACTCAATTATAATCAAGAAAACGCAGACTTACTCAAACTAACCCAAACTAACCCGTCCGCCTATTGTGATCTAGTCCTCGTAAGTTATCATTTTATTGCAGACTTACTCAATCTAACCCAAATTAACTCATCCGCCTAGTGCGATCTATTCCTCGTAAGTTAGCATTTTATTGCAGACTTACTCAAATTAACCCGTCCGCCTAATGCGATCGAGTCCTCGTAAGTTAGCATTTTATTTAAAAAAACTGTCAATCTTGTTTTTCAAATAAAATGCTAACTTACGAGGACAAGATCGCACTAGGGGAACGGGTTAGTTTGGGTTAGTTTGAGTAGTCTGCATTTTTTTGATGTCGCTGTTTTAAATCTCATTCTTTACATATGTCGCTCTTCTGCAATGTCGCTGTTTCAAGTAGGTATCGCGCTTTGGAGTGTCGCTTTTTTGATATGTCGCTACTTTTTTCACATGTCGCTATTTTAATAAAGTCGCTGTTTTGAATATCGCTATTTTGTTGTATCGCTTTAAAAATATGTCGCCTTTTTAATGTCACTATTTCAAATATCGCTCTTTTGAACCGGAGCCACTGAGAATGTCTTAGTGTCTTGTATTTTGGAAAGTTGAGCGTTCTCATCCAATCGCGCTATATTCCAGTCGCGTTTTTGTTCCACGCGCTTTTGTCCCACGCGCTTCTATCCAGTCGCGTTTTTGTCCATCGCTCTTCATTCTAGTCGCGTTTTTGTTCTGTCGCGCTTTTGTCCCTCGCGTTTTTGTTCCGTCGCGCTTTTGTCTCTCGAGTTTTTGTCCCTCGCACTTTTGTTCAGTCGCGTTTTTGTTCCACGCGCTTCTGTTCTGTCGCGTTTTTGTTCCGTCGCGCTTTTGTCCATCGAATTTTTGTCTCTCGAATTTTTGTCTCTCGCTCTTCTGTTCAGTCGCGTTCTTGTTCTGTCGCGCTTTTGTACCTCGCGTTTTTGTCCCTCGCGCTTTTATCCAGTCGCGTTTTTGTTCCGTCGTGGTTTTGTCCCTCGCGCTTTTCGTATCGCGCTTTTATCCCTCGCGCAAATGACACGGAGCCAAAAAAACACCCTGTACTTGAACAATAACTTATTATATAAAGTCAGAATTTGTAAGATTATCCACTTTTTGTCAATTTGCCTATTAACAGGAATTAGTAATGTTACTTTATCAAACTAGTAATATAATATGACAAGTTATTCAAGTACAAACGGAAGAATTGTTGCAGAACTTATGGGTGGACGGTGGACCTCTGCGGGACGAGCGCAGCGAGTTCCGCAGCCATCTATTCATCAATATGTTGTGTAATTACGATATACTAACCTGACTCACTCAAATGTGAGTTATTCTCATTAGTTTAAAAACTACACATTTCAGGTGAATGTCTTACTTGAACAGTTTAACAGTATATTGGTGAGTATAGATGGCTGCGGAACTCGCTGCGCTCGTCCCGCAGAGGTCCACCCATAAGTTCCGCAATAATCCACTTATTTGTAATGCTTCCAGCTTTTTTCAAATGGAATGCCCTATATTTCATTCTATATTCTTGAGGAACACAATGCCCCGAACTATATCTGATTGAGCAATATCTTTCATATATTCGGCTCCAAAAATTGTAAAAATACTATCTTAATACTATTGATTTTGTGAACCATTCTATCTGTACAGGTGAAAGATATAGGTAAAATTTGAGGTACCTACTTGGTTTCTCTGATAGTATTTTTGAAATTTTTAGAACCAGAGATATGTTAGAGACGGCTCAACCAAATACAGACAAACTATATAGGTAGTTTTGGAATCTGGAAATTGTACTCTTCAAAAATATAGCCAAATATTGCGCATCCCATTTGAATAAAGCTGAAAGCATGCAAAATTTCACATTTCTGACATTCAATTTTTGTTTCTGACCATGGATTCTAAACTTAGCCAATATTGTAGAAATTTTGTATTTACACCTTTCATCTACCTGTAAAGGTAAAGGCTGTAGGTGGGATATACCAATATATAAAAAAATACCCTGTACATACATACAGGGTGTGCCATTCAAAACGACACAGGCTAAATATCTGCTGCCACGTTTATTTTTCAAAAAATCGCTCGTACACGTAATTTGATTTTCAAAGGAGGAAGTTTTTTGCAATCATTTTCAGCATATCAACTTGAAGGATCAACCCTCGTTATTTCAAATGAAACAGGGTGGAGCGCGATACCTATTTCAAAAGAGTCTTCAATTCTTTTTTATTTTATGTCATTTAAAAGAAAATTGAGCGCTCTTTTGAAGCAGGTAGGTATAATTCGAACCCCTGTTCCATTTGGAATGGTAAAGGTTGGTCCCACCCCCACTAGAGGGTTAAGTTAGTGCTGAAAATGTTTCAAACACTCACACAATCAAATTACGTAAACGAACGATTTTCAAAAAAATAAAAGTGACATTATCAGATACCTATTTAGCCTGTTTCGTTTTAAATGGTATACCGCCCTGTATACATATATGTATGTATTCGGATTACGAGTATCCCCCCACGTTACCTCGGATAACCGGGTACCAGTAGAACTGTATTTAAATCCCATTTAAAAAAAAAACACCCTGTATATGAACGTCGATTGGACGTCAATTCTGTATGACATTGTGACGTAGAAATAACGTAGAATTGATGTAAGTTCGTTGCTTGAGAATGCTCTGGCAGAATTTTAAAAGGAAATAAAATAAAATAAAAATTAAATTAAGTGAAAGCAGATTAAAATAGAAGAACTACAACATTTTATTTACAACTGATTTAAAAAACAAGATCATGAATTCATTTAATTAAGACGAGAATATTCAAAATTCTATTTTTAGCGCCAAAACAACCCAATCAAGAGCCAGGAATATTCAAAATTTGAATTCAACAATAGGCAAAATGTTCTAGAAATTAAAAAAATAATAATAAAATAACATGAAAATGAAAAACATCAGATTAAAATAGCACATTAAATTGGAATCTTATTTATGAATCATCATTAAGCATAGGTACCTAATTGGATTTTTAATTAGAAATTTGTTCCCAAAACCCAATATAATAATATAAGAATAATAATAGGTTTACAACAAAGGCAAATTCAATGTGGCATTTTCAAATCAAAAAAACTAATCTAAACTAAATCGATGTTGAAGAATCAAAACCGGAAAACCCTCTAATTAGCCGCCGATGCCGCTGCAAATTAACCCACTTCTCCTTTTGATGTTTACTTTTGCAGACTGACCATCATCATCCATCGATAGCGGAATAATTTATTTATCGAAAAACAGTTAGCCTTATAGGTTTACTAACCAGTCAGTATAGTAGCTCAAAAGAACTTTCGATAATGAATAAGTGATCTAAGTATTTTTTTAATTAAATACAAAAATGTATAAAATCTTATTAGTTGTAATCAATTTTGTGATATTATTAAGCAAATGTGAAGTGAATTTAAGTGCAAGAACTAGACATTTATATTATAAAACCTATGGAAATCTTATCATTGCAAATCAGCAACATACAAGGTGAGCAAATGTATAATTTCCAAAATTAAAATACAAACCAAAGTTTTCAGTTTAAAACCAGGTGATACGGTGATGGAAACCAAAGTGACCAGTCCTTTATTGAGCATGAACGATCCAACTTCTAATAGTATGAATAAAAACATAATCGACTGGTTTCTAGGGGCGGTCGGATTAAAACCCCCTGAAAACACTAATAAACCGCCTCAGAACAATCCTAATTTAAAGTGTTCACAATGCAGTAAGAATAATTGTTTATATAAAAAGTATAATATTTTAAAAGTTAGTATTAGGTATAATGATAATGTGCCTTTTGCACAATGTTGAAAACTATATTTTCAAAACCTGAGAATACTTATTGAGTTTTCTGAACTTTTGAAACAATTAGGTAGGTACTGAAAAGCTCAAAAATCTTAAAAATGATTAAATAAAGAGCTTACAAAGTTTTTGAAATCTTTTAAGGAATAGAAAGCTGAAAATTTTAGCTCGTTTGGACTTATAATTCCCGTTAATAATATAATTTTTAGCTTGTGGTGTAGCTCTTAAACATAAACGAATCGTCGGAGGTATAGAAACCCTAGTAAACGAATACCCTTGGATGGTAGCCCTCCATTATAATAACAGATTCTATTGCGGAGCCTCCCTAATCAACAACAAATATTTATTAACAGCCGCACATTGCGTTAATGGGTAGGTACTAATTATATTTGAGAAATTCAGTAGTTTCTCATTAGTTGATTAGTTTTAGTAAAGAAAGGCTCTCAGCAATATTCCTAGACCACGACAGATCAAATTCCTATGAAACCACGACGTTTTCCAGAAAAGTTAAGAACATTTTGAAGCATTCGAGTTACGCCCAAGGCGGCAACTACAATAACGATATCGCTTTGTTGCGATTGGACGAAGAAGTGTCTTTGGCTGATATGACTAGGCCTGTTTGCTTGCCACCTGTAGGTAAAAGTTTTACAGGACTGAATGGTAAGAATAAATAATTCGTATTTGAAACTTCCAATATTTCCAATGAAATTGATACACACTTCATAGGTAGGTACATGCATCATTTAATTCCCAGTTTTTCAATTACCTACCTATTGATGTTAATTTTAAAAATCTTAAAAGTAAAAAGTTAGGAAATGATTGACTTACAAATTAACTAAATTGTAATTTGCCTGTCATTTTAATAATTAAATAAATCCATTTCATTTTCGCAATTTTTTCTTTAAGAGAGTTTCAGCTTCCAGGAACTTTCTTTTTCTTACATTATTCAGCAAAGTAGAACCGAAATAGGTCAAAGGGTAGAAAATTTGCGAACGAAAATAGAAAATTTCCTCAAAAAGACAAAAAAGGGATAATTCCGTCAAGCTGGCAACACTCTGTGGCTGACTCGTTATCAAACGCAAGGATATCAACAAAGCATTTGATAGGTTGGATATAAGCCCCGCCCCTTTCCAATCAGATGCGAGTGATATCAGCAGGGCATTCAATTGGTTAGTTGAGCCCCGCCCCTTTTCGGGGTTTGTGTATCGTCAAGGTATTTGATTGGTTGTTTCCTTTTCAACCCTTTCCAATGGCCCCGGCCCACCTACAGTGACTTAACCTTTTCAAATAGAAATTCGGTACCGCCGCCATATTCTTGCAAATTTTTTGATGTTTACTCAGATATTATTATTTATATTATTATTATCTAAATATAGTATATGCCCTCCAAGTTGGAATTTTGCCTAAATTTCATCCAAAACTTCAAGTTGAAATTGCTGAAAAACCACTGGTGGTACAAATATTTCTCAAATACCACATCAAAGCATCCAGTAAGAGCTACAATCTCAGAAAAATTTGGCACGATACCTCTGGATATTGAGATATTAGGTACCTCTTCAATTATAACAGGTATATAAGGTAGAAAGCACTTTTGTTGGATAATCTTGTACATACATAATATAGTGAAATGAACGTAAGTACCTAATAAAAAATCAATCGGAAAATTTCAAATTTCCAATTTCACAGTCTGGAAACTCGTGTAAAATTGCCCTTTCATTGCTCAAAAACACAACTACCATAGCCAAAATAGATCAAAAAAGCTATATAAATCATGAAAACAAATTTTCCAAACTTGAATTTTGTTTCTGGAAGTTGGAAGATGATCTGAGATCTTTTTTTCCTGGAAAAATTAACTCAAACTTGAAACATTGAAAAGCCATCTTTTCCCCAATTTGGAAATAGGTCCGATTCTTGATTCCAATGTCCAAAATGAAAAAACTTAACAGGATTTTTACCATGACTTCATATAATTCTGGATTCCAGTCACAAGTCTTGCAGATTTAAGCTTAAAACTCTCGGTTATTAGTGCTGCCCTATAACAAAAAGTTTATAATTTTCATAAAGACTTTTCAAAATTGTAACTTCAAGCCCAATTTCCACACCACCCTAGAGGTACGAGCTGTCGGTGCGTTTTTTTTTGAAGTGCTTTCCCCATTAGGCCTAATGCACTTTGAAATTACACTTGTACAGCCAAAACCGTCAACTATCCATTAATTCAACCTTCACTCGCCAGCTAGGAAGGCACCACTGCAAACACTTACCATACTTACGGTGTATATTTAGTGCAACAAATGAGGTCCAGGACAACTATGGCATTAGGCTCCCCCGGGGCTTCCCTGCTTTAAAGATTCAGTCAAATCATGAACTGTTTTTCGGGAATTGACGCACATATGTAATTTCACCTGGAAGAGAAAAGTAATAAAAGTTTGGATCCATGCAGTCATATCCATCATTGTCCAGTCGGTTGTTTCTACGTCTACCATTGTCAGTCATTTGTTTCAATGTCGACAAATCCTAGTTATTTGTCCCATGTCTAGAGTGGCTGTACAATGTCCAAAGTAATGATAAACTTAGCCTTTATTGATCCAATTGTATCATATCCATGACCAAAACCAGCTCATCACTTCATGGTTCAAAATTTGGAAAAGGGATGTCTGGAAAAACAACTTTATGTTAGTGAAAATTCAATGTTTTATATTAAAAAAAATTACTTATTTATTCAGCTTCCGATATTCAACACCCAAAATACTAAAGCACTAATGTAGGTATAGGTACAATAGAACCCCGGTTATCCAAAGTAACGTGGACCTCGGATAACTGAAAACTCAGATAATCCGAATGTACATATATTTATACCTATGAAGAGTGTAGGTAAATATTCGTGACTGGCCAGTTATAAACAGAAGTTATTTTCTGGGGTATCAGTCTAAGGGCTAAATAGGTCTCAGAACTTTTATACTATGTATGGTATATTCTAGAAACTCGGTTAATACGGAGTATAGACCTAGGATTTTTGGGTCTTTAGACTGGCTTGATCAATCCAGAGCTCGGATAATCGAGGTTCTATTGTATATGTGAAAAATGTACTATTACTTTGCACTTACAAACCACAATTAGGATTTTTACCAGAAATAATTAATAGCCTAATATTCTTCTTGGGCTCAGAATGATTCTGGATTTTATTGGGTAACGGCTTACCTAAAAAATAGAAGTGACACAATTTTTATGGATATCAAACGAAAATGCACTTTTATACAATTTAAGTTAAACTACTAGAGGGAAAATTGTGAAATTTTTAAGAGAAAAAGAGGAAAGTTAGGAGATCATCAACCTAAAATTTCAAACTTTTTCAGTGAAAAATAATAAAATGGGAAATTGATGAATATGTACTTACCTTTGTCAAAAATCCGTCTAGAAGAAGATTCTTATTATAGACTCTTAGAGTCATCCGACGACTTCTGGATTCTGTTTGTTTACAGGGGGGCTCACCTGAAAACAATAACACAGCGGCAGAAAAAAATGTTCATGTATATACAGGGTGATTAACGTAGCCCGTGCATTGGATTGCAGGTGGATTACATACACCATCTCTATTAATCCACCTGCAATCTGGAAAATTTAATGCACAAAGCAAAAAAAATTTCAACTCTCCACTCACTTTGTAGAGTATTACTTTACAAAACATCATTATTTAAAAAAAGTCATAACTCCATTAATAATAACTCAATTCAATCCCTTTGAGTTTTTAGTATTTTTTACATCGAATCTTTGGGAAAAAGTCCTCAAAATTTCAACTCTACACTCACTTCAGTTTTTGAGTGAAAAAATTGTTGTAGAGTGTATTACTTTACAAAACATCATTTTTTAAAAAAAGTCATAACTCCATTAATAATAACTCAATTCAATCCCTTTGAGTTTTTAGTATTTTTTACAATGAGTCTTTAGGAAAAGGTCCTCAAAATTTCCACTCTACACTCACTTCAGTTATTGAGTGAAAAAATTGTTTGTAGAGTATTACTTTACAAAACATCATTATTTTACAAAAGTCATAACTCCATTGATAATAACTCAATTCAATCCCTTTGAGTTTTTGGTATTTTTTACATCGAGTCTTCAGGAAAAGGTTCTCAAAATTTCAACTCTACATTCACTTCAGTTTTTGAGTGAAAAAATTGTTTGTAGAGTATTACTTTACAAAACATTAGTTTAGAAAAGTCATAACTCCATTAATAATAACTCAATTCAATCCCTTTGAGTTTTTAGTATTTTTTACAATGAGTCTTTAGGAAAAGGTCCTCAAAATTTCCACTCTACACTCACTTCAGTTATTGAGTGAAAAAATTGTTTGTAGAGTATTACTTTACAAAACATCATTATTTTACAAAAGTCATAACTCCATTGATAATAACTCAATTCAATCCCTTTGAGTTTTTGGTATTTTTTACATCGAGTCTTCAGGAAAAGGTTCTCAAAATTTCAACTCTACATTCACTTCAGTTTTTGAGTGAAAAAATTGTTTGTAGAGTATTACTTTACAAAACATTAGTTTAGAAAAGTCATAACTCCATTAAAAATAACTCAATTCAATCCCTTTGAGTTTTTAGTATTTTTTACATTGAATCTTTAGGAAAAAGTCCTCAAAATTTCAACTCTACACTCACTTCAGTTTTTGAGTGAAAAAATTATTTGTAGAGTATTACTTTACAAAACATCATTATTTTAGAAAAGTCATAACTCTATTAATAATACAACGGTCGAAATTTGATCGTGGCGCCATCTAAGACAAAGCCTCAACACCAAACAGCAATTTTCGCTGCAATATGGTGACTGAGTATCTAATCGGCCGACCAATCATTATTTAAAAAAAGTCATAACTCCATTAATAATAACTCAATTCAATCCCTTTGAGTTTTTACCAGTGTTGCCAACCCAGCCTACATGAAATATCGTAACGAGCACTTGAAAATTATCGCATTCTGTCAAAAATTATCGTATTTTGCAGATACAAGTTTCCTTGACAAAAAAATAGTACCTATATATTGTTTTATTAGGAGTAAAAATTATACTTTTTGAAGCGAGACTTAAGGTCTGTTCGCACATCAATCACAAACCAGTCAGAGCAAATTTCATTGGTTCAAAACAGTCAGAAAACTAGTTTCAACCAATGAAATTCACTCTGGATGGTTTGGTTTGTGATTTCTTAGCTACACAGCTTTACACAAAAAGTAGGTACACTTTTTTGTACGCTCACGTCACGGCCAGACAAAAAAGTAACAAAAAAATGACGTCTGTGAAATCAAACTTCAACATTAACAGTTAAAGTAAAATTGCATCTGCGAGCAACAACAGCAAATTTTGACGGACGTCACGAGTTCACTTATCTTTTTTTTACGTGTCAAATTTTGCTCATTTTGCTCGCAGATGCAATTACCGAACCCTATTCTTATGACATTTTTGACGTTTAAACTATAATCTAGTCATCATCGTACAAGTCTTTGAGGAAACGCTGATACGATTAACCCGATCGCAAGTTATTTATTTTTCATTTTTGTTCAACGAACTCATATGAAAAAAGACAAATTACATCAGCTGGTGATCGAGTTAAGCGGATTAGCGTTTTCTTAAAGGCCTTATGACATATGATAACAAAGACAGCGACCCTCGGCAAAAGTCC